GATATCTCATTGTGGTTTTGATTTGCATTTCCCTGATGATTAGAGATGTTGAGCATTTTTTCATATGTTTGTTAGCCATTAGCGTATCTTCTTTTGAAAAGTTTCTGTTTTTGTCCTTTGCCCACTTTTTGATAGGGTTATTTGATTTTTTCTTGCTGATTTTCCTGAGTTCTATATAGATTCTGGTTATCAGCCCTTTATCGGATGTGTAATATGCGAATATTTTCAATCTTCTTAAATTTGTTAAGATTTGTTTTGTGGCCTAATATATAGTCTATCCTGGAGAATGTCCCATGTGTGCTAGAGAAAACTGTGTATTCTGCTGCTGTTGGCTGGAAAGTTTTGTATATATCTCTTGGGTCCATTTGGTCAAAAGTGCTCTTTAAGTCCAGTATTTCCTTATTAACTTTCTGTGTGGTTGATCAAGCTATTTTGAAAGTGAGTTACTGAAGTCCCCACTATTATTGTATTGCTATCCATGCTACTCCCCATGAAGTGGGGGACAGTCTCAGCTTTTTCTCTGGGGGTAGCTTAGTTCATAAACTCCAGGAAGCATCCTCAGCTGGGCTCAGAATCTGTAAGGATTGCAGGAATCTCTAGTAGTGAAGACTGCAGGTGTTTTTGGTGGTGATGGGGGCAGCTGGGGTCTCTTATTTACCTTTTCCACATAGGGAGAAATCCCTCCTGTTTCCGAGATGATCCCGAGTGAGGGGAAGGTGTGGAAGAGGCAAGGTGTTTGTTTCCCTTCTCTGTGTGGCCATCTGGGTTTCTATGCTCCATAGAGTTTCAGTTGCTTCTTTACTGTTCTCTGGTGCTCTCCTTTGGTTATTTTGGGCAAAATATAGTTGTTTATTTTGGGGGGGCGGGGAAGAGAGCTAGAAGCTTCTAGTTGACCATCTTTCCAACTTTGTTTATAGGAATGTTACATGGTGTTTCCAGTTTTAACTTTTAGCAGATAAAAATAAATGTTCTTATTTCTTAGGATTAATTTTAATCTGTTATATTAAAATCATATGAAGACATGAATGCATCTTTCTGATAAAATTCAAATTCAAATAAATTTACTTTCTTCCATATTTCATTGGGAGGGGTCTAGCAGGGCAGCATTTGCGTATATCTGGGAATCTCATCACAGTGTCATTCAGTATAACCCCTATGTTACAATAATGCACATACACATGCACACACACACACACACACACACACACCCCTCTCCAAAATGAATCATTGAAATTTACAAAAAATGTATTTCAAATCCTATTTTAAATATCTTGTTGCCAAAAACTTCTTGGCACATTTGTGCATTTTTCAGTTGACCTGTGTTTTCATGTTCACCTCTGGTTCAGAGTCCCTGCATTTACTAATTCCCAGTCTATATTTTTAATTGTTCTTCTACCTTTCCCTTGCAGGTAGCTTTTTTCCCCTTGAATCTTCCCTACCCTCTCACCAAAGTAAACATGCATCAAGATCCATTGCCGATAACACACCTTGACTACATATTTATGGGCCATAAGGAGGTGACATATTTCTTTTTAGAATGTAAAAATCCAAAGTCAAATATCACAACTTCTTGTCCTAACAATTTCCTTTGCAATTTCTTCAACAATGATATGTCACTGACCACTCTACCCTACCTGTTCACTCAGCCCCAATCTCAGCCTCTGTCATTCTGGAGAGAAAAAAGAAATCCTTCAATTAAGAAAATAAATTCATCCATAGTTTTATGTTTGCATCTCCTAAATCATTAAAAGTCTCAGACAAACAAAAGTGCCTTTTATGTAATATGATATATTTTTATTATAAATTAATTATGGATGTAACTAGCACTGTTTTCTTATATATATGTATACTGTGTTTAAGGCCTTGACTAAATATTAAGATTATTCAAATCCTACCAATAATTCTGCAAGGCAGTATTATTACTCCCACTTTATGAATAAACAAAATAAGACTCAGAAATATTAGATAATTTATCCAGTGTTATAAAGTTTAAAATTCTAGCTATAACATGTTGAGTCCTGGATTTAGATTTAGGCTTCTTTCCATAAAACTATATTGCACCTATTATTCTTCTCATCTTTTGTCTTTTTTCCTCAATGAAATTTTAAGCTCACTAACGCAGACAGCATGGACGGGTCAACCTCATAGATTTTATGGCTGTTCCATAATACCATCCTAGATACAGTGTATGGGCTCAGTGGCTGCAGAGTAGAAAGTCTGAAGAAATGTGTCTAAAATAATTTCAAGAGGAAAAATAACTCCAAGTCAGGTCACACACTCTCAAGAGTGAGGTCTTAGACTTATTCACAAGATCCAGAGAATTCCATATGTTGATTCATTTCCCCTAGGTTATAGCAAATTTGGTGGAGGACATGTGTAGGAGTCACTTACAGTGACTGCTATATTATCTCAACCGTGCTGTCCCGTCTAAGATTTCTCTCGCAGAGGCTCATGCTTTCCTTAGCCAGGAGGGGTAAGGAATAGGAGGCTGGGGATATTGGGGATATTTTACTGCTCCCCAGGACATACAGGGATGCAGAGGGGATTCAGTGACCCTGATTTAGGATTATTGCCTAGAAGCATTGGCAGCAATATTCGCTACACTGTCTCTCACATGCCATGGTGGCACAGGGAAATCTATGTTGTTGTCTTGCAGGGTTTCACCAGCTAGGCCCCTTCAGCTAGGAATCTGTCTGTGGTTTCTAAGTCCCATCCCTTTTCTCATTGTCATTAACTTTTAGTAAGGGCAATGTATTAGGTCCTCTCAAACACCCACATCATTATCTTATTCTATTGCTCTTCTGACTTACATTTATTTTCCTGTCTAGAGAACTTTTATCTCCTCAAGGATAAGGAGGGGACAGAGGAAAGCTTCTACCATCATCACGCACTCCTCGTAAATTTAGAGTTTTGGCAACAATTTTTGACTTTTGGTACTGAAATTCTGACTTTTGGTATTTTCAAGATTCAAAATTCCTCTCTCCTAACTTACTTCTCTGTAATAACTTTTAAAAGCTATATTATTCTAGCTTTATAGTGATAAATAATAAACCAGACTTATTTGGTTTTTGTATTTCTACTATAATAAATATACATGACAGAGGGCCCATACGACCTTCGTGGATGCCTGAATTGAGGGGTGGGTGGCAGAGGCCAAGTGTGTGACCCGTAGGAAGAAAAAAATATTAACCTCTGCCAAGATCTAAAAGTATTATCATCCTATATTTGGTTGTTCTTGTCTTACTGGGCGTGGAACATGATTGGAAAATGAGATTAAATGAGTCTGAGCCATAAGGGTCTTCCAGTGTTAGCCATGATCTTCATCAGACCTGAGGTGAAAGACCAAAAAAAATCCAATAAAAGACCTCAGAAGGGGGAATTTATTGCTTCCATGGAGACATTGGATGAGCGTCACTGAGGGATTAGGTAGCTGGATGGAATACTCCAGGCATTCCATAGTAGGTAACAACTGAGAGAAGAAAAACTTCAGGTGGTCAGGGGAGAATTCCAAGTACATGCGAACTCTGAGTGGACACGGCACCTCCAGTCTCAGAGAAGAGATGAGAGGAGAAGCGTTTGGAGGAGAGAGGAAGGGCGATGAGCATAGTACCAGATCATCTAGCACATCCACTCTTCCGCTCCCGCGGAGGACAGTGCACCTGCAACAGGACAGACATGAGACTGGTGGGTCTTAAAGAGCTTCTGTGCCGTCACCATGTCACTTTACAACCACATTTGTTTGTCCAACCTCCTCCCGCTTTCCTTCTTATACTGTGGCTTCAGCTCTAACAAATCTGAATTCCTACCTCCTCTTCCAGGGCGCGATTCACAAGGGCCCTTGCTGTCTGGAGGCACCACCTGAGCGCAGGCCTCGGATGATAAAGACGGTCCCCACCACGATGCCCACGAGGCCCACAGCCAAGCCCAGGGCACACACCACAGTCTCCGTCAGCTCCGACATGGGGGCCGGAATCTCAGGTTCTGCAAAGGTGAAGTTGTAGAGGTCAGAACACAGAGTGTGTTCGTGCGCATGCATATGGGATGGGGTGACAGGAGTCTGCAGAGACTTGGGGTACCAGGCTTAGGGGGGAGAATGAAGTCTATCATTGGAAACACTTGGAAAAGTGTGGAAAACAAGTTTTGGCCATGAGAGTTAGGGGCTTAAGGGCAGGACGTTTTGGACTTAACAGACAAGAAGGCACCCAAGGTGGTGGAACTCACACATACCCCAGTGTTTCAGAAGTGGCTCGTCCAGGCCCCAGTGCTCCACCTTGCAGTCATAAATGTCATCAGCAGAAGGGAGGAAGGTGAGGTAACTGATCTTGAGGAATGAATGGTCACTCTTGGAGAGGAAGCTGGTCTCAGAAACACCTTCTGCGACTGAGCGGCCGTCGCCCAACCATGTGATGTTGACCACAGGAGGGAAGATGTTGTCCACGAGACAGATGAGGGTGTTGGGCTGACCCAGCACCACAGGAGACTTGGAGAACACCGTCACCTCGGGAACCTCTATGGTGAAGAAAGAGTGCTGATGTGAATTGCTAGTAGCTCTGCCCTGGAGTTCTGCACTGCATCCCGGGGGGGCCTGCCCACCGATGTTTCCCTACCTGGTAGCTGAAGAGGTTTTGTTTCCTTTCTGCTTGGGAAATACTGTATTTTGCCTGCACTTTATCAACGTGCCCTTCTTCTGAGTGTGCTTGTTAAGGTAGGAGATCTATGTGATCTCTCCTCGAGGGACTTAAGAAATGCATTATGGGAGTAAGGACCCTTGTATTACATGAAAAAGTGTGATTTCTGAAATGATTTCTGCAATTACCATGAGACTCAGGAACTCCTTAGGAAACAGGAGTTTTATGTGGTGAGTGGGTAGCTATCCCTGGGGAAGAAGGGAGTGAGGCCTAGTATGAAGGGATAGAGTCAGTAAAGAGAGGCAGGATGATAGACACATACTGTTGGTAGCAGCGGTGGAGTTAGAGCGTTTAATCAGGATGTCCAAGTTGTATTTTGCTGTAGCTATGTTTCTCAGTGCACCCTGTGGGTCAAAACTTGTAAATTTGCTAAACTCAGGCAGCCGCCAGACGGTCTCCTTCCTCTGCAGGTCCACGTAGAACTCCTCATCTCCATCGAATTCATGGGTGTACTGGCCAGAGGGGCCGTAAGACTGGTAGACGTTTATGCCGTAGGAGCCAACGTGGTCAGCTGATGAGTCAGGGTGACAAGCAGAAAGGCAGAAAACAGAGGGGTAAAGAACCTTATTAAATAAAGTGACAGAAATGACTTTCAAATCCTGTGGGCTTCATCTTTGGCACAGTCTCTGCAGAACATTCTCACCACCCGCTTCCTCCCTGCTTAGTGTTGGCAGTTGTTCAGTTAGAATCCAGGCTGTCTTCCCACTGTAGTGTTTGTTCCGCAAGGGCAGAATCACATGTCTTATCTACTGCTATTCCTTGAGTGCCTAGCTCAGTGTCTGGCACATCACAGGCTTGTAATAAATATTGCAATTGAATGAAAGAAGGAACAAATGAGTTATCACAGTATTTAGCTTCTCAGAGATTCGGTTTACTTCCCTTTGCTTCCTGAGTTTCGTCTCTCACTTAATTCTTTCATCAGTTAATAGCACAGTTATTACGGTTCCTCTTCCCAAGACTGGCTCAGAGCAGGACATTTTCTACACAGGGACCCCCTTTTTTTTTTTTCACCAAAGAAATCGCACAGGATCTTATTATTTTAAACGGGTTTCTTCTAACTATTATAGGGCATAGGAAAGAGCATAACACAAACGGAAACAACATTACAAAATACATAAAAAAAATAGATGATGCTTTTAAGGTCTCTGTTTTGCTAACAAAACAGTAGTGGTCCTTAGAGGAGAGCGCTTCATTTCTTCTGAAATAAAAAATGGTAGCGTTATTAGTTTTTGGATTTCTGTCATTCCCCACCCCTATTTCTTTTTCTTAGAGGAGATTATTAACCTCTCTCCTTTTTCTGACTCGACATTTACATTCACATGAGGACTCAATGAAAATTAAGGCCCTTTTTCTCAAATGTGCAGTGTAGTAGTCTGAGGATGCCAAGGCAGAACGGCCGCCAGCGCAGGATGACTCCACCCCAATGAGGCTGACGGGCTGCTTTTGTCAAGACATATATGAGGCCTTCACCATTTCATCCTTCCTTCTGTCCTCATTTACTGAGCATCAAGAGGCACCAGACATGGCAGGGGGCAAGGAGTAAGACACCCAGCAGGCATGGTCTTCTGTCGGGGAGCTCGTTGAATGGTGAGAGTAAAGCAGTAAATACAATATACTGCAGGGAGTCCTGCCATGAGGATATCCACAGCCTTATACTCCAGCATCCTCCACAAGTATCTGCCAATTAAACCAAACTACCTATGCTACTAGTTTTTGCAGAGGTCTGTTTTTCTCCCTGAAACGAAGTTATCTTTTAGGACTTCCTGGAGACCTCTAATTCATCCTTGCAGTTTCTGCTTAGTTACCAAACTTTTAGCTAAGTCCTCTTCTAATCAACATGTTTTTGACCACATGTGACCTCCAGCCCTCCATCCCAACATCCCGCTCTCCAGGTTTGTCTATTCCTCTTCCGGTTCACTTTCTTCCCTACCCAGTACGACTGCTTTGGTTGACCCTTAGCAGGCTTCCAACAAAGCCTCCTTATCCTTATCACTCCCAAAGGAAGCAATAAACCTTGACTCCTTTTCCAAACATGAATATGTGCCACCCTTCTTTTCATCTGATTCTTGTCCTGGGATGCCAAGTGCTGCTGGAGGACCTCGCACGGCTGTGCCAGCTGGAGCCAAGTCCCGTTCATAGTTCCAGCCTCAGCTGTGTCCACTGTCCTGCTCAGCAAATGGTTCTGCTTTCCTGCTCCCCGTACTGGTTCTGTCACTAGTCTGCGCACCCTCTAGGGGGCAGGTAGCATGAATTTTCATCTTGGAATCCCCCAAACTCAGCTATTGCGTACTAAAAAATATGCATTGAATGACAATTCCTATTTTTAAGGATCACACAGATTTTGGGGAAGACTGACAGGCACACAGGCAGCAGAGCCACACGAAGGCCAGGATCAGCCAGGACCAGGGCGGCCTCATGACTTGTGAGCCCCACGCAGTGCTGCTTTCATGGGCCCCTTCCTTCAGTATTAAAAATTATATTTTATGACAGTACTGGCTGAATGAAAAGTTAAAACACTTTCTTAGGCTCTAAAACTTCATTTTTTTTTCCAATTTAAAAAATTGAAACATTTTCTCGCAGCCCTACAATATCGCAGGCCTTCAGTACCGCTCCCGCTGTGCCTGATGGACAAGTGGAGCCCGGCCGGGGCCCTCGGTGCGATGATGCGAAAGGAAACGTGGAGCCGGCACCGCCAGACGAAGCCGGGACGGGAGCAGCCGTGGGTAACGAGCTGCGGAAGACCAGAGCACCTTCCATTTCACTTCCCCTTCTAACCATCGGACTTTTCAACTTCTGTTTTTACAGACCCACGGTTCATGTCTGCAAAACAGCGGGGAGCCGGGGACGGGTCCGAAGGGAAGCGGGATGAAGGAATGTCTGCAGGGAGGGTGGGAAGTGGACGCGGACGGTGGAGGGGCCTGAAGGACCAAAGGACCAGGCTGCGCCCGCCCGTTTCCCTTTCACACTGCGCGCTTGGACGGAGCGAAGAACAGGTAATATGGGTTGATAATTTGAGAATAAAATAATTTAATTCACCAAGTTTTTCATCATAAACTGCCCAATTTTAAAATAAAAATAAAGATACTCCTTACTTTGCTAAAGAAAAAATATGAAGCTGTATCTGTAATAGGAATAAGTCAAAAATAATAAGCACTGACGTTGATACGTTTTCACTGTTAATAGAACATACCTACATACCCATTTATTTGATCACTTGTGAGGCGGCACGCATGGGGCAGCTGAGATTAAGTGGGGACCACGTGGTAAAGGACTGTCCAGAGGGATTCAGCCCCCGGACTCCCCCCTCCCTCCCCACCTGTGCCTGTTCCCGACAGGGAGAGGCGTGTAAGTCTGAGACCAAGAAAGAGGACATCTTTCTGCGTGTCTACATAGTACACATAGTTCATGGAGCTGTTTCCCCCAAGATACATTACTGGAGACATATGAAAAGCTTCAAAAGTTGTTCAGAGAAATTTGGGAGTAATAGTTCATAAATTTTTTATAGTGAAAAATACTTCACTCACGGAAACATCCCTAATCTTTGAGGCAGTCGAGATGGAACGCCATAGAGACTTCCAGGCTATATTCACTGCATCCCGTAAACAGAATAATGTCCTTGGTGGACTCTCAACAGCACAGGTAGCAAAGAGAGAAGGTTGGGGCTCTGGTTTCCTGAAGGAGGAACAGCCATAATTTTTAAATCTCTTACTATTGAAAAGGCCCCTGAGAACTCTCTACTATTTCTCAGGAAATCTCTATCTCTTTTCCCTTCAATGTCCTGTTTTCCCACTCCAGAGAACACCCCTCAGCCGAGCACTCACCCACAATGTCTTCCCCTCCACAGGGGCCCACCGTGGTGGCCAGGGCAAGGGCCCCGAGCATCAGAGATGTGTGTAGGATCATTGTCTTCCCAAGGCGGTCCCAGCAGTTACTGTTCTGAGTTGCAGAGCAATGGTGAAGACCCAGCGAAGGAAATCTAAAAACACCCGAACCAAACCCTGCCAGATCAGGTTTTGGCCAATCAGAAAAATCCTCTATGGTGACGCTTCAGTTGCTAGTTGCAGAGTTTGTATTAAGAGGCCTGGAAGGAGAGAGGGAAATCCCCCAGTTGCAATTCGGCCTCCACTCAGTGGCCCCTGGAGAATTTTCTGTGAATGGAGGGAGGATACTAAATCGGAGTCTTCTCTTGTGTGTGTGTGTGTGTGTGTGTGTGTGTGTGTGTGTGTGTCTGCTGGTGGCAAGAGGGGTGGGGGTTTCTGAGCAGCATCAGGGATAGATGAGGTTGTCAATAGTACGTATCCTTCCGGATTTTCTGATTGCACCTTCCAGGAATAATTCTCTGAGTTGATTTCCCTCCTTCGAAGTCCCCATTCCCTCCCCTTTCTTTGGCTTCTACACATGGGTTAGCTGTCTTTCTTTTTGCTTTTATGGTTCACGTGGAATTCTCCAAATTCTGAGTCGACCTAAGGGTCTCTGCGGGTAGCAGCCAAGCCATATCTTTGCCTTTTCCAGGTGTATAAATCCAGCTGGGTGAGTTCTTCTTCTCAAGCTCTCGAAAGCTCCAGGTGTTTTAGTCCAGGCCAGTAAAGGGGCTACAATGTCATGCAGTGCTGCCTTCAGTAGCCGTAGGGTCTTTCAAACGGACTGTTTCTTCGCCTTGAGTGATCTTTATGCTCTGTCCTCTGGTGCCGCTTGACCATGTTTAAAGGAAATTTAGGGACATTGATTACATTCAGGAAAGCTCTGGCTGGCTCAATTACTCTTAAATTTTTTTTTTTTTAATTTAGAATATTGAGTCAAATGTTGAGGGTAGAATGAGGGGAATTGCTGTGACTTAGAAAACTGGTGTCCTTTCCTTGAACTACTGCATTTTTCCATATTTGTTATCCTGCAACATTAAAATTCCACGTATTTGTAAGGGACTAAAGGATTGAGCTAAAGTTAAAGGTAGTCATTAGAAAAAGACATTTTTTTTTTTCAGAAGAATCTATTCTCTGTGTGTTATAGAAACCACAAGTTAATGAAAGTTCCATTTGGAATCATTCTGTCCCTGTTAGACGGCCTTCTAAGTTCCTCAGCACTTTGTCTTACCTCACAGTGGCAGACTGTAAAAAAAAGGTGAGACAAAAAAATGCCCTGACCTCTGGGAGCTGCGTGGATACAATTAAGCTGGCCTTGGTGTTGCTGCGAGCTAGTATGGTACTCACAGCTAGGTTTTGGTGTTCTTCGGTTGAACATAAACAATTTCATAGAACTTCAGGTTAAGACAGCTAATCTGTGACCACAATGTATCAAGACAGAAAACAAGGCCCCTCCGTAATCGTGTCTGCACACAGGTAAGAACATCGTCCAAAGCACAGAAATGACCCGGCACACCTCTCTCCTAGATGATATGAATTACTGCTACTTCTTTACCAGTTACAGCTTTAGCCTCAATATGATCTTTCCTCCTTCTAGGCAAGACTTATTAAGAGACCCAATCATAGTATTGCCGAATCCAGTTAAGAGCAAAGTCCCTCTTTCTTAGATTCTCCTCAAAATCGCCTAACACTAGCCCAAACGTTACAATAGTTTAATCAAACTCTAAGTGAAGTGTTGCTATGACGATATTTTGTAGATGGCATTGAAGTTCATAATCAGTTGACTTCAAGTAATAGATTATCCCGGGTGAACTAGGTGAACGGGACGCAATCAGTTGAAATGCCTGAAGAGCAGAGCTGATGCTTCTCCGAAGAAGAAGAAATTCCACTGTGGACAGCAGCTTCCGCCTGCCTTCCTGACGACGGCCTGCCCAGTGGATCTTGGACTTCCCTAGCCCACTCCCACAATTGCATAAACTAATTCCTTGCAATGATTCTCTTAGTATATATCTCCTACTGGTTCTGCTTCTTTGTTCTAACAACCTCTTAGTGAGAAGCTGCACGATTCCTCATGTCGTGTTTTCTCCCTCATTGCAATGAACAATAAAAGCAACTTGTGCTCCTGGGGTCTTTGCCTGGAGGCACTGACAGCACCTCATTGGAGAGTGGTGAGGAATGTACACACTGCACTTGGAATGAAAAATTCCTAGGACTCTTTAAATATGCTTGTCATACTTTAATATTATCCCCATTTTACAAGGAGGACATTAAAGCTCAGAGAGGTGAAGGAATTTGCCCAGGGTCACACAGCTGGTAAGCAGTAGAGATGGGATGCTACGAGGGCAAGCCAGGAGTCTGTGTGAGGGGGCTGGCTGAGGCCTGACAGGAAGCTGTCCTTCTGTGTGGATTCAGAATCCAGTGCTCTGACGTAATTAGGATAGATATTTGGCCTTATAGGTGGCCTTATCATCCTTTCTGGCCTCTGCCATTGTGAACCGAGAGGGTTTTTGAGGTTCCGCTTGAGATGTGCTCCCTTTATCATGCGGCATCTTCCTTGCTGTGAAGTGCATGACATGCCTTTAACTTTTTTCCTGTATCCAGACTAACCTGATTTGTATCTGGCAGAAATTCCTTACGATTTTGGCAAATGAACTAAACCTTTCTTGATGGTGACCCAGAATTTAATCTGTTAATATTACAGTTAAAAATATTCAACTCAAATTAGGAAGTTAGCATGGTAAACATGTGAGATTAGAGTTGTAGCTTGGGGGGAAGTCGAGGGTGCATTCTCAGATCTCACATCCTGTGGGATGAAGGGAAAGTCCACGCAAAGCAAAACCACTCACCAAGACAGAATAGAGGAGCTTTCCATCTTAACCTGGTTTTGTGTCTCTCCCCTCTTCCTGCTTCGTTCAGCTATAACACAGTAAAATTTGTTCTAGCTGCTTCTGCTTTTAGGTCATAATTTTAATATAAGATAAAATTATCAGTAAATTAGACTCAGATAGGCGAATGAGGTGCCATTTTAACAAAAGCTTATTTATTGCCTTTGTCTTATAAAAAAAATGAGGCCCTCTTCACAAATGAGTCGTGGGAATGAAATTTGGAGTTCAAAATAGTACTTTGTCGAACAATTTTCTTAAATTTACCTGCCATTGATTTCCTAAATAAAAATTATCAACATAAATGGGATGTGCCATTATAATCTGCATTATGATGAGCCCTTTAAGACATTATTTAGACAGAATTTATGTTAGTTCTAATTGACAGTTACAACATTCTCTAAGACTCTGTGTATCTTCAGATTTTTTAGTTCTGACTTCGTACTATTTTGCCCTGATATGACCCTAGTTCTTATGCACTGATGAAGTTTCACTATAAAGGCCAAGACTTCTACTATCCTGCAGTAGACGAGGGTGCTTCACAACAGTAACAGAGTCTAGAACAGCAAAATAAACAGAAGATGGATTTTGTAATAAAGTAAATGAGCATTCAGTACCACTTTCGATTTTATCAGCTGCATCGCCTTGGGCAAGTCACTCAAAATACCTGGGCCTTGGGGTTTTTTTCTATAAAACAGGCTGAAAACTAGGGGGTAGTAGTTAACATGATGAAATAAAATTATAATTAAGTACAAATTATAAAGCTTAAATACAATCCAGTGCTTGGCAGGCAGCATGTATTCCCGAGTGACAGCTACTATATAGAGACAAATATTAATAATGATAATAATAACATCATGCCTCGGCCAGGCACAGCCTGTAAATGTCCCTCATTCATTTGACCTTGTCTCCGTGGCACTCCAGGCATGTGGGAGCCTGCGAGCCACAGAAGCACTAAGAAATTGCTGGGAAACAGAATTTCTTTGAAAACCTGTATCGGTCAGATTTTTCTATATAACAAACTATTCCAAAACTTAATGACATCAAATAATGTCTTAGTGTTTCCTCATGATTCTGTAAGACAGCAAACTGTGCTAGACCCACCTGGGCCAGCTCAGCTGTTCTCAGGAGGGCTCTCTCACGTCTCTGTGCCATCCGTTGGTTCAGCGGGGACTGGGGGCCTCTCCCCACTTGGGCTGATCACCCAGCAGGCTGGCTGAGGCCTGACAGGAAGCTGGAAGGCTTCCTAGGGCAAGAGAGAAACGGCAGGTCTCTGGGGCTTAAACTTAGAACTCAGCCGAACTTCCACTACATTCTGTTAGTCAAAGCAAGTCAAGCACCAGCTCAAATCAAGAGGTGGGTTAACGGGCTGCATTTCTTGATAGAACGAGCTGTGAAGAATTTGTGGCTATATTTCTGACTTATCATAAATATCCTCTGGCTTTTTGGAATATATAAATGAGGTTGGTGTGTGAGAGCTGGAGGGCCTCCACATTTGAAATGAATTCCACCCCTCGCCTACCTGTCATGATCTGATCTTTACTTTATCCCCATTAACAGCACAGCATAGCTTTCTTGAGGTTTTGAACTAAGAACTGCTGAATTCCAGTATGAACAAGGTGCTATGATTTATTCTCATAAAAAATCTTATAGAATTTTGCAGATGAAAATGGCCGGGCGCGGTGGCTCACGCCTGTAATCCTAGCGCTCTGGGAGGCTGAGGCGGGCAGATTGAGCTCAGGAGTTCGAGACCAGCCTGAGCAAGAGC